TTCTCTAAACATCTTCCTCCCCCCCCCCCATAAATACTAAGGGCAGGGTTGTGCTTGTCTCCCTATTTCTTTAGTTGTTTCAAAAAATAAAGACGGGAAGGGCCTGTGGCCTGCCCATCTTTTGCTGACCCTGAGCGATGGCGTGGCATTGGTGGAGGCTGGCGGACTTTCCCTCCTGTTGTGTTGGAAATCCTTTTTACCTCATTGTGGACGCTCTGTCGGAGGGGAACCCGGGGTTGCTCCTTCGTGCCCGTGTGCCCGCACGGGTGACTTGGAAGGGCCGCCCCCCCCGGGGCCCCTGGCTTTGCTCGCCTCCTTCCTTCGAAAGGGGTCCACAGCTGCCGCCCGGGAAGCACTTTTGCCGGGAGAAGGAGCCACCGTAGAGAGAGGGGCTCAAGCAACGCCTCACCTTCGCAGGGAGGTCCCCCCCCCCGCTTGCCTTTGAAAGGGGCTTCCTCACCTGCAGGTTCTGCACTCTGGGGTCCACTCGGAAGAGGAGCAGGACCTGTGAGATACGCCGTGGCTTCTCTCCTCTCTCCTGCCCACCCCACCCCACCCCACAAGTGCTCTTCTCAGAAATGCCCTGTTTTTGGGAAAGGAAAGCTTCTCTATTAAGACTTCTTCCTGGGACCCTGGTGCCCCCTCTCTGCCACCTCCAGGCGGGACGGGGCGGAAGAGGAAGGCCTGCGCGGAGCTGCCTCGGCGGTCCAAGCCAAGGCCGGGCTCCGGTAGCAGCAGGGGCTGCCTCTGCGTGCACAGGTACCCATGCCCGATGCCTGTTCTCTGCCTGTAGGCCTGCGTTGAAGAAGCCAGCCTCTCCCTCTCTGGCCTGCCTGCTGAAACGCTGCTGTGGCTGCCAGACAAGCAGCTCTGATGGGCAGCCACCCCCCCTCCTGGCACGCTTCGCCTCTGTGCCAATTGTTCTAGGAAAGAAAGAAGCCCCCTTCGCGCCCACGCCTGCCTTTTTTCTATCACCCCTCCCCAAGATCTGGAGCTTGGGGGCTTCCATGGGCAGGTGGGGGGGGGGAAGGGAGAGGGTTGGGGGCAGAGCGGCGGCAGCAGCAAAACCTGAGTCATGGAGGAGTCCCGGTCAAGCCCCACCTCCTTTTGAGCTCCCATCAGGTGTGTGTGTGTGTGTGTTTAAGAGTGAGAGAGTGTGTTACAGAGTAGAGAAGTTACCTTTGTTTTAACTTGACACCTCCCAGATTCTCTCTCTAGCCAGAGGGTCCGTCCGGGGATGCCCATTGGGAAGAGTAGCTTCTGCTGGCGCTCGCCTGTGTCTGTCTGCCTGGTTCACCCCCAACCCCAGACCCCATGTCTTCAGGCTGAGGATGCTTCCAGGTGGCGTCCGCTGGGCTGGCTGGGCCGGGGCCTCAGTGGAACCGCCCTCCTAAGTGGGGCGAGACGGCTCTCAAGGGGTGGTGACCTTGCCGTCCCTTCCCTGGGTCTGTCTCAACCATCTTCCTCGTTTTTATTCTTGATTTTTTCCCGTTTTGCTCCCTTCTGATTTCCCCTCAGCCTGCGAGGATGTGCTCAGGCCTTCTCTCCCATCCCATCCGACTCACACACACCCCAGTGGCTCTCAGCCTGCTTGGGCCGTGGGCCGGGCCAGGCTGGACCCTCCTCCTCTGCTGGGGGGGGGGTTGGAATGGGGGTGGCGATTGACTGTCTGTCCATCCGCATTGCTTTTGGTGGAATGTTTGCAGCTGGGGTGGGGGAGCTGAGCCCGGGGCCGTTTGCTCGCCTCACATAATAGGCTGGGATTATGGCCGGCAGGGAGGGGCGCGTGGCCGATTCTGGACTGCCAGGCCCTCTTTGCTTTGATACTCGGACAAGGCACTGAAATGCTGTATTTTGGTAGTTTTTACTACTGAGAAATGTTCAAACTTAACAATGTCAAATAAAAAACAAATGGTTCAGAACGACAAGGCCTGAGAGTCTTTCTTTCTTTCTTTCTTTCTTTCTTTCTTTCTTTCTTTCTTTCTTTCTTTCTTTCTTTCTTTCTTTCTTTCTTTCTTTCTTTCTTTCTTTCTTTCTCTTTGTGTCCCTTCTGTTTAAATGTGGCTTTTTCTCCATCACCCCAGAGTGGGTGCAAGTTCCAGGAAGGCAGGTTTCGGCTGGATATTGGGGGAAAACGTCTGTTAACAGACTGTTAGAGCAGCCAGACAGGGGAGCCAGTTTTCCTCAGGAGGTGGTGAGCACGTCAACCCTGGAGGCATTCAAGAGAAACTTAGACAACCATCTGGCAGTTAACGCTTGATTTGGATACCTATCTCGAGCAGGGGGTTGGGCTTGATGACCTTAGAGGCCCCTTTCTGTTTCATGATTCTAGGATCCAAGAACAGAAATTAGGAAATAAATAACATAAATAAAAATAAGAGTATGGGAGGTGTGTGTGTGTGGGGGGGAAACGGCTATTGAGAGAACAAACATGTCAAGCCGCCACTGGTTGAGGCGCGTTCCCCGAGACAGCCCTCCCACAGGGACCCTCAGACATGGATTCTGCACAGCCAGGCCCTCTTCGTTTTTGTGCTCAGACAAGGCACTGAAATGCTGTCCATCAAATTTCACCCAAATAAAACATGTCCGTTTTTCGAGTGCCACAAGGTAGACTCTCCGTTGCGTTTGCTATAAGAGCCTTTACATGGCTGCAGATTCTCCCAAAGAGCTCTCGTGAAGGCCTGCCTGCTGTGTGAGGCATATGCCACCCCCGACTGTAGGCAGCCAGTCGGGCCCTTCCGGCGCGCCCCAAATCCCCAGCTCTGTGGCAGCCCAGAAGCAGCATCGCTCTCCCTCTTTGACCACCGTTGGCCCTCACGGGGAGATCCCTGCGCAGCTGACCAGGGCGAGAGGCTGTTTGGAACGCCCTGGCAAGCGTTGGCTTCTTCTGTGGGCCGCGCCAGCCTGTGGCAGTTCCACGCTTGATTTTTAGACATGAGTTTGGCCCTAAGTGCGTGTTTAGAGGCCTCGAAAGCCTTCTTGAGGTTCCCCCGCGCAAAGGCCGCAAACAGACACCCCCCCCGTCTCTCTGTTTCTCTCTGTTGCCTGGAGTGGGCCGCTGTGGTGGGGCTGTCATGAGGGCCTGCATTTTAGATGAACCCACACTGCAAAACTGCTGACCCAGAACATCTGTGAGGTTCTGGCAAGGAGCACCGCCAACATGCTGATGGGCCGGACCGCTAATCTTCTCTAAACCGGCGGCCAGCAGCCCTCGGCCCGCATAATGGGGCCATAGTGTGGAGTCAAGCCCTTTGCTATTGAAGTGCCACGCGGTGGGTGGGGTCTGGGGAGGGAGGCCGAGGCGGCGGCTGCTGCCTCAGCACCCCTGGAAAGCCTGGGCTGGGGGCAGAGAGGGCCCCATAAATAACCCTGCCCCTGAGCCAGCCTGGCCCGCCAGAGCTTCCAACACCACCTGGGAGAGGAGGTATGCCACCCCCATTCCCCTGCCCCCCCTCCCCAAAGTAGGGGCAAATCGTTTCCTTGGTGGTACTTAGGGGGCTGGGGGGTGGGGGGGCTTTTCTCTCCCCCCCCCTCTGGCCACAGCGTTGGGGCCCCCTTGTGCAGAAATGGTTCTATGGGGTGATGCCAGCAGTTTTGCTAAGGGGGGGGGGGAGAGGGAGGCTCCCGCTGGCTTCTTGAAGCCTGGGGGAAACCAGGAAAGCCCCCAAGGAGGCCTGGCCATGGCGTCCCAGGAGCCCCTCCCAAGAAAAACTGGTGGGGTGTTCAAACGGTGCCTCTGCCTCCCCTTCCATGGCTTGCAGTGAAAAGACGGCCCACAAAGATGGGGGGATTTATATCCGCCAGAATTGGGGGTGGGGTGGGGTTTATTTGGGGAGTTTATTTCTAAAAGGACAGCTCCCAGAATCCGTTGCTGAGGGTGAGGTGGGGGGGCTCTGGCAGTGGTCGTCCCAAAAAGACTTTTGCAACCACCTGACTCAGTGGCAGCAGGAGGACCACATGCTGGGATGCAAACTTCTGTGGAAACAAATCCCAGAATATATATAGCACAAGTTTAATAAGAGGTACAAATAATTACTGTATACCAATATAATTATGCAGGGACGAATAATTGTATCAGTGAGATCTTTTGCCCAGAGAGGACACAAAATGACAGGCAATGTGATCCAAACTTGAAGATACACCAGGTGTATTAGCTTGGAATGGGTAGAATTTTTGCACATAGTGCCACAACTCCTGTGCTGGCTGAGATCAGCTGGCCAAAGAACTGAAAAACAGATAGAGAGGAAGAACAGCTGAGTTATTCCAGATCTAGACCCTGCTTACAATGTCCATTCTCACAACATCTCTGTGATCAGAAAGTGATGTTGGGTCAAGATGGCATGTGAAGGGGTTTTGTGCAATCAGGTTGCATCAAACTTACAACAGTTTGCAAGGTATGTGAGATATTTAAGGAGTGATTTTACAAGTGCCATCCTATTGCAAGTTTCCATGGCAAAATGGGGATTTTAACCCAGGTTTCTTGAGTCCTAGTTTGTCACTCTGTCCACAACACCAAATGGGTCAGGATAGTCTTAAGTAATTTCCATTTTATTTAGACTGGGAGTGGTCTAGGTCCAGCACAATCTTAGCTACTTAGCGTTCACTCAGCCAACCCTTAGTTATTTTGGCTCATTAGAATTGTGCCATTGATTTGTTAACAAATTTTAAAATGGTTAGTTTTCCTACTGATTACCGTAACATAGGATTTGTCTTGTATGCTTTTCTGAATCTATTACCACATATGGTAATTAAGCATTTTAAGCTAGTTTGAGCTGATTCTGCTAAAAATATTAATAATCACTTTCTTCTATGACAAAGACAGCAGCACTGTGTGATTTGACTCAGTAGAACAAATACTGACCTGAATACAAAACTTCTTTAAAACTTCTGCTCATTTTCTCTCCCAGTTGCCTCCAGTTAGAGAGGAAGGGGGCAGCGGATGCCCTTCAGGCGCTGGGGGGCTTGAAGCTGCGCAGCCCTTGGGCTCCGAGGGGGACCCGATGGCTTCCTCCTTCTCGGAGCGCCCCTCGTCTCCCTGGCGGCGCTTCCCGGAGCCTCTCCCGGCCAGGATTCGCCGCATGGCCTCCCTCCGTCCCACACCGGGCAGCGTTCGTCCACCTCACCCACGGCCTGCCCGTCTTCTGCACCAACAGGGTCTAACCTTCTCCGGGACGGTGCCCGGTCCCTGCTGGGGTGGGCGGGCGGCCCAGAGTCCCAGGCACCGAGGCCAGAGCTTTCCTTGCGGGAGAGCGGCCGCTTTCAGAGCCGTGAAGCCGGTTGGGCCGGGCCGGCGGGAGGG